TGAATGACTGAGAATGGTTCTGTGTGTGGGACCCCAAAACGGTTTCCACCGGACAGCATCTGATTCCTCCTACACTTTCTCTGCCTGTCTCATGAGTTTACCGCTGCTTCCTCTTCCCACAGCTCCAGTTTCCCCTGCAAGAGTTCATCCTAGCCATGGGCTTCTTTCTGGTCTTGGTCATGGAGCAAATCACACTGGCTTACAAGGAGCAGTCGGAGCCGCTGCCTCGGGAGGAGACAAGAGCTCTGCTGGGAACAGCCAGTGGGGGACCGCAGCACTGGCACGATGGGCCAGGCGTCCCACAGGCAAGTGGAGCAGCAGCAGCAGCACCTTCGGCCCTCCGTGCCTGCGTCCTGGTCTTCTCCTTGGCCCTGCACTCGGTGTTTGAGGGGCTGGCGGTGGGGCTACAGCGAGACCGAGCTCGGGCCATGGAGCTTGGCTTGGCTCTGCTGCTCCACAAGGGTATCCTGGCGGTCAGCCTGTCCCTGCGGCTTTTGCAGAGCCACCTGCGGGCCCAGGTGGTGGCTGGCTGTGGCATCCTCTTCTCATGTATGACACCTCTGGGCATCGGGCTGGGTGCCGCTCTGGCAGAGTCAGCTGGGCCCCTGCACCAGCTGGCCCAGTCTGTGCTGGAGGGCATGGCAGCTGGCACCTTCCTCTACATCACCTTCCTGGAGATCCTACCCCAGGAGTTGGCCACTTCTGACCAGAGGATCCTCAAGGTCATTCTGCTCCTAGCAGGCTTTGCCCTTCTAACTGGCCTGCTCTTCATCCAAGTCTAGGAGGAAGGCGCCAGTAAAGGGCAAGGGAGGTTGGGTAGCAGGTACCCCTGCCCTATCCTCCACCCCAGTGTATGTGGAAGAGGCCAGGGAGGCACTGAGGACCAAAGAGTTCCCCAGGAACTAGGGGTGACGCCTTTGGTCAGACAGCAGCCTGGCCCCAGACCAGGGGACAAGGGTGGCCATAATCAAGAGACATTAGGATTAAGGGTCAGACACTACACGCAAAGGCAAACTGACATTATTTAGGCTGGAGGTGGACCACCCACCTGCTGTGGAGTAGAGGTATGGAGAAGGCACTCCAGTTGGTTCTAGCCCATTTCAGCACCCTGCCACTTGGAGTGCCCCCACCCCCTCTTACTTTTCTTATCTCCTGTGACTCCTCCCTCTTCCCTTTTCCCAGGGAGGCCAGTGCCAAATGGCCTCTTCCTGCCAGTTTTGGTATCTTCTCTGGCACTTCCGGCCCTACTCACTTCTCAGTTTTCAAAGTGCCAAATAAATCTCCCCCATTCTCTTTTCTCAAAGCACAGTGATGCCACTGAGTCCTGCCCAGTGCCTCAGTGAAGGGGACTCCCCTGCTTGTTCTTGATTTTAGACCCAGGTCCTGGGGTGGGGGAGAAATATTTGTTGGACTGAGGTGGGGGTGGGATTGGCAGAGCCCCCCAACTGCCGCTGCACCATAGGGATACAGGACATGGTCCTTGTGCCAGATTCCAAACACTGAGCTGCCAAAATGTTTTTTATATCAGAGGAGCCGAAGGGTGAGGAAGAGCTCACCCCTGAGGTTATTTTTGGGGTGGGAAGGCTGTGCATAGGGGTCATATTCTCTAGAATCTATTTTACTAACCGACCTGTTTTGGAACATGTTATCCAAATAAAAGATGTTTCTATAAACCTGTACAGTATCTGATGTATTTTTTGCTTTGTTTTCTTTTTCAGTATGATTTTATTATTATTTTTTAATCATTTTATTGGGGGCTCGCACAACCCTTATCACAATCCATCCATCCATCCATTGTGTCAAGCACATTTGTACATTTGTTGCTATCATTTTCAAAATATTTTCTTTCTACTTGAGCCCTTGGTATCAGCTTCTCATTTTTTACTCCTCCCTCCCTCATGAAGCCTTGATAATTTATAAATTATTTTTTCATGTCTTACACTGATCAGTGTCTCCCTTTACCCACTTTTCTGTCGTTCATTTCCCTGGGAGGGGGTTATAGCTGTATCTGATGTATATTTTGGGGAAAAGGTGGGCCTGTCTGAGAGGACCTGAATCCCAGATGCTTACAGCTGAAAACCTCTGGTCTGTGTTTATTAATGTCCATCTGGTTCTCTTCCCTGAAAATTACCAACATTTTGCTCCCTCCTTCCTTCCTTGTTCCCTCTTTGTCTCCATCTATTTCCTTAATGACTGTCCCTTGCCATCTGTAGTCTCGGGACCAATGTGGGACTACAATTCCCAGCTCGCCCCGCGCCTGGAGTAACCGAGAGGGAGGAGCAGAGAGCCCAGTTCCCGGAGTTAGCGGGGGCTGCTGGGAAATGGTGTCCATTTCCTCTCTGTCTTGCGTGACCAGCGAGGTGAAGGCCTCACGTAAACAAACTACAGTTCCCGGCGGCCTCCGAGCACAACAGGTCAGGGCTAGGCTGGGGCCAGGTTCGCGGTGCTCGCTGAGGCGGCGGTGGCGGCGGCTTCGGCTGGTAGAGCCGGGCCGGAGCCGGCGGCGGAGACCGTGGCTTGTACTGGAAGGGTGGCGGGGAGGGACAGGGGAGGAAGATGGCGACGCCGGGAGCGAACGGGCCCGCCTCGGCTACGGCCTCGGCTTCCAATCCGCGTAAGTTCAGTGAGAAGATCGCGCTGCAGAAGCAGCGTCAGGCCGAGGAGACGGCGGCGGCCTTCGAGGAGGTGATGATGGACATCGGCTCCACCCGGGTGAGGGGCCGCGCCGGGGAGCGGGAGCAGAGCGGACCACTGACGGCGTGGGGAGCGGAGCGGAGCGGCGAGGCGGGGCGGGAGCGGCGGGGAAGGAGGCGGAACGGGCAAGGGCAGCGGGAGCCGCCGTCTGGGAGGTCCGGGCGGAGGGCCGAGGGGTAGGAAGACTGATTTTGCTGGGGCACGGGGGTTGCCGAAACACCGGCGGGGCTCGGGATGTGGGAGCGGCAGGGGGCCGAGTGGGTGAGGCGGGGGTGTGCGAGGTCGGGGAGGATGGTCCCCTGAGGCCGGGCGGAGGTAGGAGGTGGGTGGCCCCAGTGCATCCCTGGCTGAGTTCTCGGAGATTCTACGGAAGCATCCTGAAGCTGGGCTGTAGGGTGGGGGCAGGGGGATGATCGCCTTGTCCCTAGCCTGTCCCCTCCGAGCTGGTGATCTCCAAATTGGTCCCCCTGCGCTATGTAAATCGGGGGCGCCAGCTCCCACCTCCCAGGGCTGTTGCCTGGAGACCTTGTGTAGGAGGTTGGTATCGCGAGGGGCGAAGACCCCTGAGTGTGGTTTGAAGAGTGTAGTGGGGCAGGAAGTCCCCTCCTGCGTCCCGTCCCGTTGCTTCCTTTTTCAAATATTTTTTGTGGTTTTCTGACGTGAATGAAGGTGAGGACCATGGCTCACCGACGGGTGCTTGGTGATTTGCCCTGGGCGGCCTCGGAGGAGAAGTGAGTAGGCTTTGAGCCCTGAGACCCCATAGCCAGTTGGCAATAGGTTATGTGGAAGCTGATGGTTTGCTGAGCTTTTTAAGGAGCTGGCTCTGTGAATCCGTTTGTTGGGTACGCTGGAGCTCTTGTGTAGGAAATGTTCATTCCTAGGACGTTCCAGAGAGCAGGGAACCCGGCAGAGCTGCTCGGGAAGCCTGTTGGGTCCGGGTTTCTTGCTTTCAGGGACTGGATGTCAGAGGGAACTGGGGTGGGAGTTAGCCCTGGATCAGGCTCAGGCACACATGCCTTTCCCAAGGGCAGGTTAGGGTTTTACAGTGACTTCTCTTGTCAGGGAGCTAGAGTGGATTTAAGGGGAAATGACGGCACATAAATACATTTCCAGGTTCTTTCTGCTGGTCTAAGATTGCATCTGTCCGTGAATGTGACTCTGGATCTGACTGTGTATCTCCCTTGACTTTGTTAGTGTGTGTGTGTATTTCCCCTTTGAGTCTCTAGGGACTATGTGTCCTAGTTAGTAGGTACTCAGGACAGAAAGTGATGGGGGGAGGCAAATCTGGTGTATGTGTATGTGTGTGTGTACCACTCCAACCACCATGAAGATCATACTTTAATTTTTGACTGCTCCCCGCTAGGAGTTTTGGATCCTGGGGGGACCAGAGGCAAGAGCTTAGGGAAAAAGGCAGTCTCCAGGTGACAGCTAGAGGCCCTATCCCCTGGATTGTGATTCTAGCAGAGGTATGGTGGGGTCTTAGGGCTTATAATTGCAAACAAAGACAGACTGTAAGAAACTCAAAGCAAGGGGCTTTAATCTTTGTCATGCCTGCTGTCAAAAGGCATCTTCACCATTCCACCCACCTAGGCTCTGTTGCTGCTGCTGCCCAGAAAGTCTAATGGGCACACATGGCCCAACTGGGGAACCCAAGAGTTCAGAGCTAGAGCTAAGAGACCAGGGACACTTAGCCTGCTGGCTAGCTGTTAGGAAGACTCATCTGCAGCACACAGAGGTATGGGGGTCTATCCGGCTGAGAACCTGGAGTTGCCATATATACGAGTCTTGAGGTGGGCTGGAGGTCAGCACAGTGCCCACTGAACTCGAAAGGCTGACCTCCTGTGACAGAAAGTTAGTTCTAGTGTTGGCCTACGTACAGCAGCGTGGCCCTGGAAACTCTTGGAATTTACTCCTCTTCAGCCACCCTCCTCCCAGTGGCCTTGCCTGGGTCTGTTTATTTGCCTACTGGCGGTAGCTGAGCCTTCGAAGTAGGTGCTCGCCTCTCCCAGAGGGATGTGAGCTCTGTAGCTAGGCCCATAGCAGGCCAGGCTGCTAAAAGCATAGCTCCCCGGAATAGAGGTGAGGTCAGGGAGATGGGGCGGACCCCAGTTGGCATTGGTGAGCTGTTATTCCTTCGTCCACCCCCAGTCTCCAGGGCCTTAGGATGTGGTGGAAGAACACCGTTTGGTTTTGGCACTGTTTTTCCAGTGAGGCCAGCGATCATTCCGGGGGTGCTGGAGCTCTGTAGCCTTCCTGAGGCCTGGCCTGGAAGCCTGTGCCCCCCTACTCTACAGAGTGGGGAGGTCAGAGACCGACAGTAATGGCTCTGTGGCATCCACCTGTGGCCTTCTCATCTTCCAATTAGTCACGGACACATCTGGAAAGGAAAGCAGAGTCACCTAATAGGCACTCCTCCCCAGGAGTTAAGTCATGTGATGAGCCTGGGGGTTCCTAGAAGCCCCTCAGGGATTCGAGGTACACTGCTGCCAACTGGGACATCAGAGCCCCAACAGAGTGGCAGGCCCGGTGCCAGCCCAGCCCATAGGGTAGTGCGGGGCCGCGGTGGTTTCGTTGATGAGGGCAGGATATGTGAGACCTAGCACCAATTGTTCATATCCACTCTCGATGGACCTTTTCCCCAGCACCGACTTCAAAATAATTTTTCTCCTTTAAGAAGCAGAAACAGCCTGACCAGATTACAGGAAAGGTAAGGCGGCCACAGAGAACAGTCCTCAGGACCCTTCCTAACATTCCCATTGTTCTCCTTCTCTCAGTTACAGGCCCAGAAACTGCGGCTGGCGTATACAAGGGGCTCCCATTATGGCGGTTCTCTGCCCAACGTGAACCAGATTGGCTGTGGCCTGGCCGAGTTCCAGGTGAGTGGCCACCCGGCAGGAAGGAGCAGAAGCTTACTGGCAGCTTCCCCCGCTGACTTGATGCACCTGTCCCTTTTGGCAGAGCCCTCTCCACTCACCTCTGGATTCATCTCGGAGCACTCGGCACCATGGGCTGGTGGAACGGGTGCAGCGAGATCCCCGCAGAATGGTGTCCCCACTCCGCCGTTACCCCCGCCACATATCCTTCAGCAAGGCTTAGGGGTCTGAAGGGTGGCGGGATAGAGTTCCTTAGGGGCTTGTGGGAGGAAGGACATCAGGTGTTGTTCTTCCTTCAGTTCTGCCCTTCTCCAGGAGCCTCCTTGAAAAGTGACCACTTGGCCCTTGTGCCAGGACTCCTGTGACGGGAACTTGCTGTCCCTGGGGCCGTGCCCTCTATCTCTGCCCAACACTGGTGGCCTCACTTCAGTTACTCTCTGCGGCCCGAGACAAATGGGACTCCCTGTTTTGTTTCCTGCTAAAAGGGATCTGGTCCCTCCTCTCGTCCTTGCTCCTGTCATTCTGTTTGTTTTCAGTCTGTTTGTCCCAAGTCCAGCCCGGATACCCTCCTTTAGTTTCCCTGTCCCATGGGGTCCGAGCCCCGTCTACTCATCCATTCTCTGACTCTGCTGTTGCCCCTTGTAAAGGAAAAGGAAGGTCTATATTTCTTGAGAGAACTCTTCAGGGGGCTCCCTGATTCTCTCATCTAGTCTGTCTTCTCATCCCCTTCCCATGCTTTTCCTTAACGAGGGCTGTTCACATCGACAGTTCTCCCTACAGTCCTGCCTACTTGTCTCCTCCTCCAGAGTCCGGCTGGCGACGGTCAGTAACTGTCCTGGACAGCCAAATCTGCACGCCCGCTCTCTGACACCCTCTGGGGGAATCTGGAATTGGAGCTAGGCTTGCTGGGCCAGGGTTTCAATAGTACTTCCTCCCCTAAAGGTGGCCAGGGAGGGATGGGGGGCAGGTGGAGTAGGTGGGTCAGAGTCCAGCCTTGGCCATATTGACACGAGTAGCCTAGCCTCCCTGTCCAACCAGGACCGGACCAATGGGAACTGTGGCCGGGCTGGGGTGTGTGTGCACGGGGGAGGGGAATGGCAGGAAGGCAGGTGAAAACAGCTGCCTTCTGTCAAGAGTGGGTGCTTGAGGGGTGCTCTGGAACGCTGATGTTTCTAAGCCCTTGCTCTGTCCATCTGGCTCCCAGTACTCAGGCCCAGCAGAATTGCTGGTTCTAAGATTCCCGTTGGGATTGTCCAGGCAGAGAAGTGGAGAGAGAGGCTTCCAGAACTCTTAGATGCATTGGAAGGAAGGAGCCTCATGGGTCACAGGCATCAGAGGGACCAGAAAAAAGGAAGGGTGATCCTGGATACCCAGCCTTGCCACCTTCCCCTTACTTCCATCCTGGCAGCCTCCTCTTTGCCCAGTCTCCATGCCCACCTTGTCTGGTGCTAGCCTTCCTCCTCATGCCTGTTTTCCATCCAGGACAATGCCCTGGGGCAATTTCCCTGCTGAGAAGGGGCAGCTGTTTAGACTGCCATCTGCACTTAACAGGTAATGGCCCTTCTCCCCTTTAAGCTACAGACCTCCTAGTCTTCCTGCTCACAGCCCAGCTAGTGTCACTGGTGCCAGCTCATCTTGGCTTCCCCCTACAGGACAAGCTCTGACAGTGCTCTTCACACAAGTGTGATGAACCCCAGCCCCCAGGACACCTATCCCATCCCTACAGCCCCCAGCGTCCCTCCTAGCCGTCGTGGAGGTAAGTGGCCCTGTCCCAGGATAGAGAGTAGCCGTGGAGCTGTTGTTTGAAGTAAGTAAGCACCTGAGTACTACAGCCTGTTACGCCGCTTCCCTTGCAGGGTTTCTGGATGGCGAGATGGAGTCCAAAGGTATGTGCTCCTCATCACTCGTGGGCACTGGGTTCTGGGCTTGTGTCAGAGGCTTTGTGCAGGGCTAGGGAGAGGGACACCCTCCCACCTGCCTTTGCCTCTTGTCCCACCTTACTGGTTCCTTCTCCAACCCTTCCATCACCAGTCTTTCTCTTTCAAGTTCCTGCTATTGAGGAGAACCTGCTAGATGACAAGCACTTGCTGAAGCCATGGGATGCAAAGAAGGTAGGTGTGGACCACAGGGTGATACCCACTGCCTTTCTCCTTTCCATGGGGCAGGCCTCCCTGGTCCTCACCAAGCACTGTTCTCGTTTTCCATTTTCTTGTCTCCTCAGCTGTCCTCCTCTTCCTCTTCCCGACCTCGGTCCTGTGAAGTCCCTGGAATTAAGTAAGTACCTCTGAGGTGGGCCGAGGGAGGGGTGGAAGAGGAAAGTATATGGGAATATAAAAGACTGGCCTTCATTCTTCCCTGACCACTGTGCCCATTGATATCTCTTTGCCTCTCCTTTCCCCAGCATCTTTCTATCCCCTGACCAGCCTGCCAGTGTGCCTGCTCTCCCACCTGCCATGAACACGGGGGGTTCCCTACCTGACCTCACCAACCTGCACTTTCCCTCACCACTGTCTACCCCTCTGGATCCTGAGGAGACAGCCTACCCGAGCCTGAGTGGGGGCAATAGTACCTCCAATTTGACCCACACCATGACCCACCTGGGCATCAGCGGGGGCCTGGGTCTAGGCCCAGGCTATGACGTACCAGGTGAGTAGCTGTCCTGGCCATGTGTCCACATGGTGCTGCCTGCCTGGAGGGACAAGGGGAGGGAGACTTGAGCACCTGGATCTGCCTGTGAGTTGCCATGCTAGTCCATCACCTCTCTCCCCCAGGATTCCCTCACTGCAATCTTTAGCCAGTAGAAAGTGGTAGGTGTGGCTTTTCTTAGAAAGGGTATGGAGAGCAGCCCCCAGGTGGGCAGTGCCAACCTCAGTGTCAGGGATAGAGTAGGAAGGACATCATGTTGCCATGTCCATGGTCAGAGTCTGGTCACTGCTACCCATTCCAGGTGGAAAGGGGCCCAGTGCCCATCAATAATGTTGGCATCTCTGGTTTTTTGTCTGTGCCTGCAGGACTTCATTCACCTCTCAGCCACCCATCCCTGCAGTCCTCCCTAAGCAATCCCAACCTCCAGGCTTCCCTGAGCCATCCTCAGCCCCAGCTCCAGGGCTCCCACAGTCACCCCTCACTGCCTGCCTCCTCCTTGGCCCACAATGCACTGCCCACCACCTCCCTGGGCCAGTCCTCATTCAGTGCCCCAGCCCTCTCCTCCTCCTCTTCCTCCTCCTCCACTTCATCCCCTGTGCTGGGCGCCCCCCCTTACCCAGCTTCTACCCCTGGGGCCTCCCCCCGCCACCGCCGTGTGCCCCTCAGCCCCCTGAGTTTACCCGTGGGCCCAGCCGACGCCAGAAGGTCCCAACAGCAGCTGCCCAAACAGTTTTCGCCAACAGTGTCACCCACCTTGTCTTCCATCACTCAGGTATGCGTGGCTACCTTCCCTACATGTCTGTCTCCCGTCCCTCTTCTCTCCCACAAAGCCCTCTCCTCCCCAGTGCCTTCTCTGGCTTCCCGTTGTCCTGTCCATCCCCCTTCACCCCTCTTTTCTCCACTTGCCCCATCTTTCACCTACCCTAACTCCTCTTTGTTGAAGTGTGCCAGCTTTATTGGTTAAGCATTTTGGCTTCAAATCCCAGCTCCATCTCTTATTAGTGGTCTACCTGGACACGTCATTTACCTCTTAGAAGCCCCAGTGTCCTCATCTATGAAACCAGGTGATGCTGTGGGAACCACATGAAGTAATCTTCGTGACATGCTGGGCACTGACCGGGCTTAGCCCCGGGACAGGCTCAGAAATGGTAGTTTCTCTCTCCTTTTTCCCTCTCTCTTGGCCTTTCTTGTTTGCTTGCATGTTGTGTTTGGTCTTTTTCTTGTCCCGATCCCCTCCACTCCTCCTTTCCAAGAATGCACAGAGTCAGAAACTCATCCCAGGGCCCAGGGCCTTCATTTTATCCTCTCTCCTCACCACCACCACCCACCCGCCGTGAGAAAATGGGGGTGGTGGGGGCGGGCGAAGGAAAATCTTTACCCAGCAAGTGAGGAGGAAGGGCATTCAAATCTCTCACATGGGGGCTTTTTCCTCCATATGCTTAAATCTCCAGCAGTCCCCCTGCCCCACCCTTTCCTTCTTTGTTCTCCTCGCTCCCCTTTCCGTCTCACCTTCGTTCCCTTCTGTTCCCTGTCCTCCGCCCCACTTTCTTCTCTCCTCCTCCACTGCCCTTCCTGGAATGTGTGTTCTGTGTTCCATCTTGACCCAGGTCCCCCCTCCTGCAGGAAGACTTGGCTCGAGGGTGGGCCAGCAAGGGCTCAGCTCAGCCTGGAGTGAGCCTAGCCCCCCTGCCCCACTTCTCCACCCTCCACTCCTGCCTCTTCAAGGCTTTAGAACAGAAGCTCTCCACCTCACGGTTGTGTTGTTGTTGTTGATCATTTGTGAGGTGTGTCACAAGTCCTTGATCTTACAGGTTCCAAAGTTTAGGAATGATTTATTTCTGGAGTGGACTCAAAATTATTCTTGTGTTAGTCACTGTCATCCTGGTAGGCATTTTTGTGTAACTATACCCAGTCCCAGGGACACTTTGGGGAGCTCTGTCATGTTTGTGCTGAGAATGGTTGTAGCCTAAGTGGGGGGAGAGGGGATGTCAACTTGAGGACTGCTTTTGGGTGATACACTGAGGGGTAAGCTCCCCCCCCCTTTTTCCTTCTCTTCAGGGCGTTCCCCTGGACACCAGTAAACTGCCCACTGACCAGCGGCTGCCCCCATACCCTTACAGCCCCCCCAATTTGGTTCTGCCCACCCAGCTCCCCACTCTAAAATCTCTACAGCAGCCAGGGTTGCCCTCTCAGGCCTGCTCAGTGCAGCCTTCATGCGGGCAGCCCCCGGGAAGGCAGCCACACTATGGGACCCTGTGCCCACCTGGTTCTTGTGGGCATGGGCAACAGTCTTACCATCGGCCAATGAGTGACTTCAGCCTGGGAAACGTGAGTACACAGGCCTCTGACTCAGGATCAAGGGTGGGGCTGGGGGCTGGTCAGTGGGGTACTGAGTGCTGGTCTTGGGTGTGTTTTGAATTGGGAAATCTAGGCCGCCAGATCGCCTTAGATAACAGCACTTCCAGCTAGAAGCTCCTCGCTTCGTGCATTAGCCTCTGCTGCCCTTGGCCCTGGCCTGGCCCCCAGCCCTGGCCCCAAGCCCTCTCTGCTCAGCTTGCTCTTTGACGGCCAGCACTTAGACCCATTCTTCTCCAAGCACGCACATGCTCTCTCCCACCAGGTACGGCCCCCACACTCACCTCAGGCTCCAGTGCTCACTGTGCTGCTCTGCTTGCTGCCTCCTCCCTCTATCTCTGCCTCTGGCCCTGGGGGGGGCATGAAGATTGTTGGGCAAAGGGCATGTGTTAGAATGGCGGGGCAAGACAGGCAGGAACACAATGTCCTGAAGTCCACTTCTTCAAGATCTGTCTGTGTGTCCGTAGCTGGAGCAGTTCAGCATGGAGAGCCCATCAGCCAGCCTGGGGCTGGAGCCCCCTGGCTATTCCGAAGGGCCTGGATTTTTAGGGGGTGAGGGGCCAGTGGGCGGCCCTCAAGACCCTCATGCTCTCAACCACCAGAACTTGACTCACTGTTCCCGCCATGGCTCAGGGCCTAACATCATCCTCACAGGTGAGGGGTAGGTGGGTGGTGGCAAGGTGCAAGGGGGAGTAATTCAGTAGAAGACTGGGCCCTTGAAGAGTTTGTAGGTCACAGGGTCCTCATACATTTCCTTGGTACCCACAGGAGACTCCTCCCCCGGCTTCTCTAAGGAGATTGCGGCAGCCCTGGCTGGAGTACCTGGCTTTGAGGTGTCCACAGCTGGGCTGGAACTGGGGCTGGGGCTGGAAGATGAGCTGCACATGGAGCCACTGGGCCTTGAAGGGCTCAACATGCTGAGTGACCCCTGTGCCCTGCTACCCGATCCTGCTGTGGAGGATTCGTTCCGCAGTGACCGGCTGCAGTGAGGGCACCTCCTCACCATCCCTCTTCTTGGCCCTGTCCCTTATCACTGTCCCTTCCTCCCTTCCCCCCTGGCCAGTAGAGACTCAGCTGTCTGCCCCCAGATCCTCTTTCTAACATGAATGAGGGATCCCAAGAATGAAAGAAAGCAAGGGATTTGTCCAGGTGGCCCCTGAATTCTGCACTTGGGGTGGGCCTGGGGGAACCCAAGGGAGGGCCTAAAGCACTTGTAACTTTGAACCGTTTATCTGGAGGCCAGAGCCTGTTGGAAAGCAGGGGGTAGAGGGGAGCCCCGGAGGCAGGGCTTATCCGGATGCCTGGGGGTGGGCAGTGCCAGCCCCTCCTTACCACTCTTCCCCTTGCAATGGAGGAGAGAGCCAGAGTGGATATTATTTTTTATTAAATATATTATATGTTAATAAAAAAATCTTACCAAACCCTTACTGTGTCTGCCTGCTGTTTGAGGTGGGGCTAGGGAGCTACGAGGTTCTTGGCACACAGGTCTTTCTTCTCGTGGTGGTTTTGCATGTTCTTGGCACCTTTGTGCGCTTTGTCCAGCCTCAGGATTTGTACTTGGCATTGGATACAGGAACCCAGGCTGCATATAGACCCCTGGCAACAGGAAGTCACCACCTCTCTGTACGGGGCTCTTGTGCATCATCAGGGGTTTGAGACTCTGGCCAGACAAGTTCCTGCGTGTTCCTTCAGCCCCAAGGCCTAGCAGTGACGGGATGAACCGCAGGCTTGATGTTTCTGATAAGATGACCCCAGCTCTCCTGGGGGCAACCTAGTTGGCCTGAGTGCCAAGGCTACAAAGGACAAGGGATTTGGTGACTACGGATTCCAGGTTAAGTGTTGCGCTGGCTCCCTCTTCTTGATGGTCCTTTAAGCCTAGGGGGCTAACCAATCAGACAAAGGGTACCTGGCTAACCTTTGGCCTTAGGACTCTTGTGCTGAGAATCCTTCCTCCTCTCTTCACAGTTCATCACTTCACTTCGCCCTCCTGACTTGTCCATTCATTCATTCGTATTTCAATTCAACAGACGCTTGAATGCCAACCATGGTGGGCAGGCTTCTGCTTTCTGGGTTGGGTGCCAGCACCCAAGGACGCAGGAGAATAGCAAGCACCCTCGTCAATTACCCTCATCTCCACTATATTCCACACCATATGGCGGGCCTCTCTTCCTCTTTCCAAAGTGCTCTACATTTTCAGAAAAGAGAACTGAGAGCTGGCTCCAAGGGAATGCATTTGGCCTCTAAACCTGGAAGTGGAGGGGGGAGCCACCTGGACCCCACTAAAGCCTAGACTTTCAGCACCTCCACCCTTTCTCAGGCATGCACAAGAAAGGCTTTGGTTGCACGACTAGAGAGGAGCTCCGCTCGGACTTCGGGGACTCCCTGGGGTTTGTCCTGCGGCCTCGGCTGGGTGGTGGGAAGCTGCCTGGGTGCAGGGGGCCCTCCCAGCCGCCAGGGGTCGCGCTGCAGGCGGCCGGGGAGCTAGGCCGGCGCAGCCAGGGTCACGGCCGCCGGCCGGGGAGGGGGGTAGGGGGAGCGGCGGCGCCCGCGGCTCCAGAAGGACGGGGGGCGGTAAGGGGAGCGGCGAAAGCGGGGCTCACTGAGGAGCGCAGGGTCCCCAGTGCCGCGGGAGCGAGCGAGCGAGCGGCGCGGCAGC